GAATTGCAATTCCCATTGAATCCTGCTTCCTAAATACAATTATCACTCTAATACAGTAATGGTCTTACTGCTACAAGTCTCTGCTGATGACACTGCAGTCACAATCCTCCAGCATTCACTAAATCTGATTAAAGCCAGCTTTGGTGAGAAGGAGTGTGCAGCGGGGTTTGGAAATCATTCACTTGCTGAGGAACTTGACACAGCAGAGGAGGACTGAAAGCCAAGTTGCTCTGATCTAAAAATATAACAAGAAAATAACCTGCAAAAACGGATGGAAGACTTAAGATGCCCAAAATACAATACCTCTCTACTTAAAATTTAGTTTTACAGAGATTTGTGCACACAGCGGTAAACGTTCTTGCTCTCTCCTCTACTTTTCTTAAACCGCAGGTGTTACAGCGCCTGTCCATCTCTATCAATGCTACAATGGTGCTTTGGAAGAGAAATGTGTATCTGGACTCGGTAAGCACTGATTCATTCTTTGAGTTGTTTTAGATTCTGTTCAGCAGTGGTTCTGTCTTAATGTGATTAGAGGTTTTAAAGCAGAGAGGAAAGAAGAAAAGCTGGACAGGCAGCGAGAGAAAAGAAAAGCGGACAGGTAGATGGCATTTGGCCGAGATGAGAGGTTGACTGGGCGGGTTACGTGTTAAGATAATGACAGACTGGCTGCCAGTTTTGGAAGATGAGTGAGTGAGACAGATGCGGTAAACAGAACTATAGATGAATCAGACAAGGCTGCCAGGAAGTACTGCAATGAGATGCATTTGATCAGAAGTACATCCAAGATTCATTCAAGTTCATTCAGAGAGACGAGTGAGCTAGTGGAGTTCAACCAACAGTCAGACAGAAATGTTGGCAGGATAAAAAATGAAGTACACACAAAAATGTATATCCTGGCTAACAGTGAAGCAAAATAACACTCACACAAAAAACATGCCAGCAAAAATTAAAGGTTTAAACTAAGTAATAGCAGTGGTACAGCATGGTCTGGAGCCTGATATGAGGTTGTTTTATGATGAAAATACACATCTGGAGACAACAAGGTGAGCTATACTGTATATTAGACAACACACCCCTAAACAGGACAAACACCACCATTAAAAAAACACCTTATCTGTACTGAATTTTAAGTGTCCAATATTAAATACAACTATCTCAAACTAATACAGTGTGATACTACATTCATAACAGAGGTAATGTTCAGTTTTCACCGAAAACATTTTACATGTATTGTTGGTTGTACTTGGTGGTGTTTCTAATATTAGGTATACCCTCATTAGTATAAGTGGGGTGGACAAGCTATTTGAAGAACCTCAGTATAATGCAATACAGTTCAATAGCACAACAAATTATAGCATCCAATAAACAATGAAGTTGAATTAACATGTCTCTAAAACAGATTCATCAACAACTGAACATTATAACCTTCATGAAGGCAGGATCTACTGCAGTACCATTTCAGGCTGTATTAGACTGTATTAGCACTGCAACAATTAGTTAATTCATGGATCAAAATGAACCTGTAACAACACTGATTACTGATTTTTATATTTATTCTTTATTATTATTATTTATTATTTTATTTATTCTAGGCAGTTTCACTTTTACAGGAACGGCCTGATCACACCCACACACAGCTCCACACAGTCACCTCTGGAAGGTACTCAGCACAACCCCACCCTGACCTGCTGACCACTAAGCAGCTCCACTGGAGCAGCTGGGGTTTAGGACCTTGCTCAAGAGCACCACAGTGGTGTTGAGGATGGGGCAGGCACCAATTTTTCACCGCCAGCTTCCAGTCACAAGCTCCACTACCACAGTTAATTTGAGTGGTCACAATTCTCCGGTTCAAACTTTTTTCTGCCTCCCCTTGTCTTCTACAATTGTAAAATGACTATCTTTGGGTTTTGGACTGTCAGTTTCATAAATTAAGAGTGAAATCTGAAAATGCTATCTTGGGCTTTTTACAGACTGTCATCAACGTTTTTCATATTTTCTTAAATTTTACAGACCAAACAATTATAATAAAGTGGTATATTCATTGATAATTAAGATAATCATTACCAAAAATATGTTTGAGATAAGTTTAGACAGGGTCATACTGAATTTACAGTTTTATACAGCTTTTACGAATTTATTTGGCGCAATGTACATCTCACTCTGTGTAGAATTTAACCTACTGTTGTCAATACTGGCATCAGTCGCAAAGTGAGAATTGCTGAGAAAACACATAGACACCTACCCTATCAATTAATTGGACTGCCAGCCCAAGGATGCCTACAAGGGCAAACGTCTTCATTTTCAACGGTTATAGTGAATCCCCCATTAATAAGACATGCAGCTGCCTAATTTACTTTAGTTCATAGCTCTGACTTTCCACACTTACTGGGTGTTAATTAACCAGGCATGTCATTCATAGGATTTTGTTGACATGAGCACATTGCGGTTTCTTATTTAAATCCCCACCTACATTATTTTAAGCAGCAGCTACAAATTGGTTTGGAATATTCATTTCCAACCGACATTAAGGCCCAAACATACTACAATTGTCTGTAGAAGTGTGTACCTCTGTAACTGCCCCCATAAGACAACCACCCTGGCCACCTTACAGACTGCTCCCATCAGACCAGGCAGAGGTCCAAGAGGAAAGGCTAGGCCGGATAACGCTCATAGGCTCCCTGCTACCCAGAACAGGCTCATAATTATTCTGTTGGCCCTGTTAAGAAGCCAGATACTCTTTTCCTGCCCCATTACTCACACACTGCCAAAGATACTGCACAGAGGCTCCCCAGGCCGCACAATCACACAGTGTGTGGGTTTCCTTTTGTCATATTGCCTGTCTACCTCTGGGCATTACTGCTGCTGCACCAGTGTGTATGTGTGTGTGTGTGTGTGTGAATTAGTACATAACAGCAAAAAGTAAAATACTGTAATACCACTTACTTTGTAAATGGTCAGTTAACATTTAAAACAATAATTACAAAATAAATATTTTTATTTAAATATCTGGCATTTTTCCCCTGATAAGAACCTAAATGGTTAAGCAGAATCAAAATCGGTATGAATAAATTTCAAACAATTCCCAACCCTACTCGTTATGACAAATGGATAGTGATTTAGATGTTTTTAACAAAACAGATTGAAGCCGTTAAGTGAAAAAAAACTACCAAATGTTTAACAGCACTCAGGGAATGCACACTTCAGCCAAGACAGCTCAGTATTAAGTGTGTGACCCTCTTAGTACGATTCCTTTACTATGAAAATTTACCCCAAGCATTTGAATGCATATTGATATCACTGTTAGTGTGAAAGTTATTCAAGATAATAAAAAAAAAGGTACAAAAAATGTTTTAAAATCCTGGATCTGATCACCAAATCCATAAATAAAATTTGGAGTTATGCTCTGAACAAACCAACACAGGGCAGTAACAACATAATCTCTTTGGTGGAGGTTATGAGTGCTCATATACAATGCAACTGCATTTGCTTAACAAGATCTACATACAAAAGCTGAAATGGCTACCGTTCAATATTGCAGGTATCATAGGGTTTTAAGGAAATACAGACATTACCAGGTGAGTCTGCAGCAGTAGAGAACAGTCTCTGTCTGCTGCAGTGTTACTACAGGAGAGAGACAGCATTATCCAAAATGCTGCCCCACCAGAGTTGACTGAAGTTTTGTGCTCCAGCAGGTGTTGCTGAGCTGCTCTCCTTAGTTAACGCCAGAGGTCTATGCTCAGCTCCACTAACGTTAGTCTGTGATGGGCTATGAAGTAAAAACATTTCTCCACACTCATCTTTCAAAGCTCATTATCAAGGTATTAAAATGTGTTCAAATGATTGCTTTTTCTGAAGATGACCTAACGTTACAAACAACTCTTATATGTGCGTACTGCAAGCTGACCTCATGATTGAGCTCCGCCTTTTCCGTTCTAAAAACATTATTACAAAAATCATTTGCAAATCAATTAAGAAGCATAGAACATATGAATGGCGACTCTTGCTATCACATATGATGCTGTTAGACTGGTTGTTTCAAAAGGAGAAGGGTGAGCTGAGAAGGTAGTAAGTTTATTTATATATAGATAACTATATTACATGTTTGTAGCAGTCTTGACAAACATGTTCAGAAATGGGGAGATGTACTTCAGGTCCACATGATCAAGGAGAAGATGACAATAACTCTGAGCCTAGATGATGACATTATCAGTAATGTAGTTCTCACACATCAATCATGCAAAACCAGCCATTCATATGAACACTGAAAAAGCAATTTAAAAAGAAAATGAGTCAAAACCTGTCAACTGCCACATGTTAACCTGTCATCCTATCAGCCACATCTGACAGTGACATGAAATTTTTAAAAATTCTGTTTGAACAAAACAGCTACCCGATGGCAACATTTTGCAATCTGCTACACATCCTATTAGCAATTATAATCCTATCCCAATAAGACAATGACATTTGCTTTAATTAATTTACCTGCAGAATGCTTATAGGTTACATACAGCCAGTGTAATGAAAGACTCACTTATGTAGGATGGAGTACATCACCGGATGTAGAGTACTACAGAGTTACGGGATTAGATGTGAATGTGAAAACAGTCAGCCCATATGTTTCAAATGAGCAAACCGGAGGTCTGTACGGAATACATAAATCTATGGTAAGTAGCTACCAAGGGAGTTTTACATCAGTCCTGTTTTGTATCTTATCAAGGAGAAGAAAAGTAGCTAACACAGATATATGTCACCATTATCAAACCACAAATGGGCCTGACCTTGTACTGATAACACTACAAACTATGCATATATGCGCACCTGTATGTGTTACATTGCACTTTAATTTCATAAATTTTTGTGATCAAAAATAGAACTGATATTGTTATTAATTAAACTATTTTACTTACAGGTCTCTGTTGCTAAACCCTATTTATCCCCCCGTAAATAATAATAATTACGGAATTCAGGGCCCTCACTGGCCTAGAACCTCATGTATTTACCCAGATTGGTGTGCAGAGATCATCACCATGACACTCTAAACATAATTTAGACTGCCACAGCACTGCAGAGCCTCAGACAGGTGGATGTCATTAGAAGTGACTGCACTGGAGGGGTGTTGCCTATGAGAAAGCATAAAGGCAAAGAAGAGTCATTTATTTCTTCAAACAACATCTCCATCTAGTGGCCAGTAGAAGCAAAACAAAAACAATACTGAAAATTGTGGTGTTGTTGCAGTGTCTCTAAATTGCTATTATGGTCTTTTTGACATCTTGTGCGAGATTTTGTCATGTGAGTAGCTTTGGAATATTTACTACTAAACTAAGCTACATAAAGCTCAAGGGTGAACACTGTAATAGTAATTAAAAATAAGGCCAAAGGTTTATTTGCTAGTTCTAGCTTACTAGTCTTCCTCAATGAATGAAGTTGTTCAGTTGTCATCAAAGCATTTCAGTTATTATTAAGTGATGTTATATGCAAAGATTTGGGCACCAATGGGCTAATTATAGATTTTGTTGATTTCTGGAGATAAAAGATAACAGGTTGCAAATTGCCTTTCTTCAGATGTTAATTACTCTGACTTAATAAACTTAAAAAATACATAAAATAAATACAAATTAAAACTATTGTTTGAATGTTTGAAGAGTAAGACTTTATCTTAAGCAAATAATTCCTAATAACACCCATGACTTACTTATTTTCGTTATTGCTTAAGTTCATGAAATATTTATTTTCATTATTGTTTATGTACATGAAATAAAAATAAAACTGTATTAGTCTAACATCTAAATAAAGGCTAATTTTTCTGCCTTTTGCAGCAGTTGTATTGGCTTGTTTACACTTAATATAAGTTATAAACTTAACATAATATAGACCTTAACCCAGGAGTGTCCTAGTATCTTCACCGGCTACAACGGTAGTAAAGAATAGGGGCCTTTGTGGATAGAAAGAACAAGTATGGCTTTTCTGAAAATATGTAAGCTTGGGTTTTTCAAGCTACTTTTGTGTTCACAAATGTGCTTATTGTTTGACACCCTGCTGTACCAGAAACACGTTTTACATTAGAAACTATAGCATTAGCTAGCTAGGTTAATTGGATTTGGAGTAGCAGAGTAAGTTGGCTAATAGGTAACTCTAAGATGTTTTCCCAATAATGCTAAATTTGAATTAGCATTAGCAAACATTTGGCGAAAAAACACTTTGTTCAACATACCTTACCACTGTTCTGAAGGCATTTCTGGAGTCTTTGGTGAGTTTTCTTTAAAAGTAGAACAGGAAGTATATTCTTTACTGCACCATGTAACTCACCGTCAAGATTTTAGAAGCCTCTCGAACTTAACTCGTTGTAACCGTTAACAGTTAACTGCACTAACGGTTAAATGCTCGTCAAACAAATATGGCGGCCGAACGTTACATAAAACTCTTTGCTTGTGCTTGCATTCAATCAATTTTATGTTTTATAATTTAACTAATTTAGCTATTTGAACTACATTTTTAACTAAGTTATAATTAAACGTAGTATAATTTGTGTATAATTAAAACTCAAGTATTGTACTTAAATAGTTTTGAGGTATTTGTACTTCACTTTAGTATTCCCATTTTGTGCTACTTCATACTTTGACTTCACTACAAATATTGTAGCTTTACTCCTCTACATTTATTTGATAGCTTTACTTTTCAGAATCTAGACTAATAAAACAAAATACAGTATTCTGAGATTCTGATCCTGATCCTGATTGATCCTTGGTGGGAAATTCACAACCTACCCAGCAGTAGATCACATTATAAGCATATAAGGTAGCCTAATTAAAATTATTGCCACCTTTACCAGCTGCAATGTTAAGAATTACAGCATGTGCACAATAATGCATTATAATCCAATAATATAATATAGATTCCTGTGAAATGTGTCATTCTGCATGACTACTTTTACTTTTGGTTCTTTAAGTATATTTTGAAGCTAATATTTTTGTACTTTTGATTAAGTAATTTTGAATTCATGACTTTTATTTGTAGCAGAGTATTTTTACACTGAGGTATTACTACTACTAGTAAGCAGTCTGAGTACTTTCACCACAGCTGCATTTTAGCATACAGTCTATGCCTTGTACAAACAAATCATGGATCAGTTTCATGCCACCATCTTTAGGAATTAACTAATAGAAAGAATTAACTAATAAGACTCTTTAAAATGTAGCTATATGAATATTTAGGGACACCAGCAATGCACAAACAGGATCTATTTTATTCAGTTCAGTTGCATGAAATTATGTGATTTAAGACATGGGCATTGTTATCATTGCTGGAAGTAATGGGTTGTTTCATCCTCCAGAATTCAGAAGATAAGATCATATTTGCAGGATATACTTGGTCGACATGTTTAAAGTTTCCTTGTTCAGTTGTTCATGAAAACACTTGAAACTAACAGAACAAAGCAGCCTGCATGCATGTGAAATGACAGCATCATTTTCCAATCTAAATGTGATTGAAAACAACAGAACAGTTCACATGCACAAGTAAGTATCTTACTGGATCTTGTACTTCCTATTCTCTTCTTTCATTTCATTTTTTCCACTTTGATTTCAGAATGGAAATTATATTGAAGAAAGAAAACACATGCATACCATGTTGGATTTTATTTAGTCCACTTTTAAAATGTACATTTTCTGTTGAGATTCATTAAAAAAGATAAAGCATCGTCAGCTCTGCAGTCTATGTCACAAAGAGACTGCAACAAGGAAAGGGTGAAGTTGAATGACTTAGTAGGCACAATTTTCAAATTATATATGTTATTCTAACTGATGGCAAAATATAAACAGCAATGATTTTATTGTGTGATGGCACATGCTGGGGACTTCTGAGTGAGAGTTCACAGATTAGTTACAGATCTATGCAAAGACTTTTTCACTTTCTACAAAAGATGTATCAAGTTGATTACATGAGGCAATTTTCCAAAACTGCATGCCAGATAAATTTAACATAAATTAAACCTAAGAGGAGAAAGAAAAGACAAACATAAATGACCTGTGAAACTAATTGACCGGCACTTGTAAAACTAAGCAGAGTTTAGCCAGTGTTCCTCCACATGAATCACGAATACTGAGCTAAAAGTGGACACAACTTCCACCTGATGAAATAACTTGAGAAATAAATTAGAAATGGATAGTTGTATTAGTATACACTTATAAAAGAGTACCTGATTTTCTCTCTCTAGCCTAAGTTTGATACCTTTGCATAACTTATAGAAAACCTGTCACTTTCTTTTTAAAAACTCACAGTAATTCATTCATTAATCACAAGTCCTGATACCACCTAAGATAGGCACAAGATTCTACCCTGCAGAATCCACATACCTTCAAGTCAAACATGCTGGATATTCCAAACAAATAAAGGACACTTTTCCTGTTTATATACATAACACTTTCGTGCAATCTTTGCACTTCCATTACAAGCGTCTCCACTTACAGAGCAAATGGAAATCAAATCGTTTTCAGTGGATTAACCCTTGAGTGAATCCAAAGCTTAAATGGAGCACATGGTTACATGTAAAATGAACAAGTTCACCTGTCTAACAAAACTCAATGAAATTCTGCCGCACTGGGTTATCTTGGAGATCTGGTTTGAAGTTTGCCTAAGACACAGATCAGAGTCACTTTCAGCTATCTACTATGACTTAGTGAGGAAAAGAAAGGTAAAAATGACATGGGAACAGTGCTCATAGGAGCTCCCCCGCTGCACAGGCCAAACTCAAAAAATAAAAAAAGTCAACACTGTTAACCAGCTATGCTAACTAGCAGAGTGTTGAATTGACTAATTCTTTTGATAATGTTATCAGTTGATTTCATTTGCACTCCAAAAACAACATCATTAAACAGCATTATAATTTAAGGAAATGTTAACTGTGGATCAGCCCACAAGTCACTAAAAAGTGAACAAAAGAGCAAAAAAAAAAAAAAAAAAATCCAATACAGGAGGCAGTGAATATTCAAAATTCATGAGTCTGTTTAAATCAAACCCTGAAGACCAGTCCATTCATTCCACCTGCTTTCATACTACATACAGCTTATTTCTGGCCCACACCCTTCCTACGTCTGTACACACAGTGCTGTCCTAGACCTGACAGCAGTGTAAACTAAAGACAGCTGAGTGGCTATGGAGCTTCACGGGCCTCTACACACTAAGGATCTTGTTGAGGTGGAGCATGACAGCTATGCTGTCCCGAAGCACAAACCAGAGCCTACGCTATTGTAAAAGACTCAGTGCTTTGGGGTTTGGAGCCTGGGTTAGCAGCTGGGACTACAGGATCACTTGGGTCCTTTAGAAGGGGTGTCCGTCTCTGTGGATTGGCGGCCATCGTTCCAGGCCTCCCGGGTGCTCTTAAGGGCCTGTGTCCGTTGCTGGTCCACAACCACATAGTCAACACGCTCATCTGATGCTGCCATACCAGTTCCATTGCTTTTCATCTGAAGAAATGAAGTAAAGAAAAACACAAAATTTTAAACCAAATTCCTACAACAGTTGATAATACACAGTTTAAATACACACGTGTTTCTGACCACACCACAAGATCTGGTCTTAGGTTAGTGCTGGATATCTCTTGAGGACCTACAGGCTGATTTCTTAAGTCTACTCTAATTGTGACTGTGCTCTGGATTACTTAAAGAAAATTCCTTCCTACCTTCCTTGGTGGGGTAGACTTGCCGGGGTCGAGATCCAAATCCAGGTACTCCACCTGTTTGTCTCCCTTCGGTTTCACCATGGGGCTGCTCCCACCATCTGCAGTCATGGGCGCACCAAGCTTCATGTTCTATGTAAAGCAGAAAGGGATGCTTTTATTGACAGAAGGGGAAGACTGAAGCTGTGTCAGAGTAAAACAGAACTAATATTCAAATACACCCCTGATGTCACAATAACCTAAATTTCCTTGCTATGATGGCAAGAGATTTGACTGATTCGCCAAAGAGTTGGTACTTTAACAAAGCATGTTCAGCAAGGCCAAATTGCATTTAGTACCATCTTTAGACGGGTTACAATCAGGTACATGTGGTTTCAGGATTTGAACATTTAAAGGATGAAAAAGAGAGGACTATAATATAAAATGTACTCAAATTTCAAAGTTCAATGCTTAAATTAGGGTCAACGTAAACCAGTTGTCAAAACTGGCGAATGCATTGAATTATGTCACTGTTTAGATGAAGATGATCATTGTTTCCTTATAAGAATAGTGAACAGATTTTCATCTAGTCAGTCCAATTTCTGACATGCTGTCAAGGTTTATTTACAAAGCAATGACACGCTATTTTACAAAACAGTCAACAAAAATAGGTACCAAAGTACATACTGTAATGTCAAAAAGCAGTGGGTCAGGAACATTACTTTGTGATTTCTTCTCTTTTTGCAATAATATCTGAACATCACATCTTTAAGATAAAGAGTTTTAGCATGAGTAGAAAAAAATCTGGTACTGTGACAACACAAATACATGTTGGACCTAGAGGTAGAGTTAATTTTTAACTACAAGTAGGATGGAGTTATTAGATCTATGATGGTGACATAACTACATCATACTAAGTGTAAAGAAAGTGATGGCATACAGCTTCTACAGAACACTGAAATCTGTGCATCCATGCCACAGTTTCTAGCTGTTGTAATGACAGTACAGCAAAGTCTGTACTGTGTACTTCCTTGAATTTCTGATCTAATGATAAAACCTGAAACTGGCAACCTCTGGTGTTCTGACAGGGCAGGCCATGCACGTCTAACCTGGCAACCCTGCTCACCTCCTCTATGATGTCAAGTTCCTCCACCTCCCTCTTTACAGGGGTGATGGGGACTGTGCAGTAGAAGGACTCCTCTCTACACAGAGAAAGAAGGAAGTAGTTGCAAAGGAGAAAAAAGAGAACAGCAGATGGTCAAGACCAAAATGCAGGAAAAAAAAGAAAATGGATGAAGCCAGAGCCTGGTGAAACCAGAGAAATGAGGAACTAGGGAGAAAGAAATTAACATGAGTGATGAAAGAAGAAGAAGTCAGGAGGCAATTTCAAAGCAAATGTTGGAAAACAGTACACAAATTGTTACAGCAGGAAAAGGGCAGAAAATGACGCAATCTAATACCCAAACTGTAAAAGGAAGTATGCCTGTTAACAGAAAAGTTATCCCATCAGTGTATAGCTGATGTACCCAGTGTTATTCTTCTACAGTAAGGGTAGGGATTTGGAAAGCATTTTTTAAAGAATACAATACCAAAAATGTATAAATAAAAAAATAAAATAAATAAAATAAGAGCAGAACAAGAGGAAGCTGCAAAGAAAAGAGTAGAAGTGATGAGGAGTCCATCTGCAGCAACCAGTAATTTGTCTCCACTAATGTACGACTCAGGGAGAGGATCAATGACTGGAAATCAGATTGCTACACCTTCCTGTACAACAGTTACAGCTTAACATTCTGGGTTGCAAAAAACTTTCTGCTTCATATAAGATCTTCTACCTTATTTGTGCTGCATCTGCTGCAAAAAACTCTCTTTGTAGTGTTTATATGAACAAGATAAAATAACAAAAACACATATTACAATAAAAATCTGTAGTTTCAATATCCTGTGGTTTGAGAAGTTAAGAAAAAAGTAATCATGCAACTTCTTGTATCAGAGCACAGTTGTGTGTTACATACTGGTTCATCTGTGGACATATTAGAGACCATGGCTACATAATTCTCATCACAGTCCTCGGAGTCAGTGCTGGAGGCCGTGCTATGCACTGACGGGGGTCTTGCTGGCATTGGAAACCTAGAGAGACTGAGCAGTATTCACAAGGTTTACACACTGACTTCCAGGCAAACATAGTCTCTGGTGAGCACAAAATATAATATAGACACAACAGCCACAGCTTTAAACCACTGCAGCTGACAATGTCCCTGCAGCACTAAGCACAGAAATAGACCTCACCCCAGGTAAGCCAACAAACTGAATTCAGTACAATGTAGCTCTGAGGCAGATCCCAGGCCTGTCTGTATTAGCAGCGCTACTTTGGCCACGGAGCGACTACAGTAATGCATGAAGTGTTAGTGCCTACTTTAGTTAACTGTATCTACTACAAAAGAGCATGTTCACACCAAAGAGCCTTTATCTCACAAAAGAGGAAAACCTCAACTGCATTTTGTGTTTCTCATTTAAAGAACAGGTACAACACTTTACACAGCTTCCATAACATCACCAGCTTTAGACACCAGGAGAAGAAGTGCCTCTTTACTGTCTTGTGCCTTGCTTCTCTACAAAGGCATATTTGTACAAATGTACAAGCCCTCCACTCTTCCTAATAAAGAGTGAGGTACAGTGTCTCTTCTGAGACAGCAGCCCCATTTGACTTCAAACTAAAAATTAAAACAAGGTCCATAGGAAAGGAGACTAGTGTGAACATGCCCTTAATTGTTAGCAAAATGAAGTTATGACAAATGAAGCAGAACATTTTAGAAACTTACTCCCGAGCGAATGACCGTGTGACAGGCGAGCGGACAGGTGTACAGGGCTCCTCCCATTCTGGCAGCGGTTTGATCTCCAGTGGAGCCGGTTTTCCTAAAGCAAAGCACACATACAGTCAGTCACTGTTTAAGACTTGCGCATACAGTAAGTATACACTGGGGAGATAATCAACCTATGTGCACATAACATAATGTTTTATATCATAAATTTATTTCTAATGCAGATCAAGGCTGGAACTTTTTCAAAGCCAATAGAAGTGCAACTCTTCATCACCTACTGCTTTATAGATGACAAATTAATTTATCAATAAATAGGCAGCAACTTAGCAGCATTTCCCTTCAATCTCTTCTTTATTTTCTGTAACAGTTTATTTGTAAAGGCATGCTGTGACTGTTCATGAGTTCTCTAGCTATAAGAAGTCTAATCCACCATGCATGAAGTGCACACTCACCCACCTGCTGCTGGGATTTTAAATAATAAAACTGGATTAATGCCACAGCTTTGATACAGGCTTCACAATTATAAACCTTTGTAGGTAGCTCTGGATCAATGTGCTCACCACAGACAGCAGATAAGGTTTATTTTAATTGCTTCAGGTTTTATCTGGTTTTGTCTTATAGAACCAGAAGGCCTGAGATACAAAAGAAATCCCACAGTACACTGTTTACAACATGCAAAGGGCTGAGATAAAGTAGAGTCTGGACAAGTCAAAGAATGGAAAGTTTCTAGATACACAGTGGCAGTTCAGTGTTGAGTACCTACCCTTGCGTCGTCCCCTTGGGAATTCACCTACGGTTTGAGAGTCGGTTCGCTCTAAACCGACAGCTTTTGCTCTTATTATTTTAGGACTCTGACCTGATTGGTGAAAGAAGACTTTGCTTATTATAAAATCTTTGGTGATCACAACAGTTAAACCCTACAGTAACAGCTGCTCTGCCATGCAAAGCAAAAGACGAGACGTTTCTGAACAACAAAACTATACCCTCCTGTACAATCAACCACCTTTTTGTGCAGCACAGTTATCAAGAGAATGACTGTCATGACAACAGCAGATCCATACGGCCCAACATGCACCTCACTCCATGCACCACGGCTTCCCACACAAAGACTGACATCACAGCTGTGCATGCACAATGAGCTGTGTATAAGAACTGAGAGTACACTGAGAAATCATGTCATGTTGAGAAGAGCACAAACAAATATGGAGAGCATAGGAACTTACTGATGAAGCATATAGCTCCTTTTACATTAACACACTAACATATCTCCACAGTGCTGACAAGAGCAAAAACTTAGGTGTGCTACAATCCCAAACTAAGAGAATTAAGTGAAATAGAATCACATTCAGTGTTAGCTGTTTGCTCGCCTTGACTACAGATGTCAGAGCCTTCACAACAAAAGCAGAAAAATAAATGCAGAGGATGATTATAGCTGGTAGTGAGTTGAATTTGTTCAGAGTAAAGTGAGACTGTGTACGGCTCGTGGCAAATAAAGTAATGTGTAGTATCATAGGAGAACTCAAGAGTATGTGACATTCTGCGTATTTCTTAAACGTAATAATCAAACTTCTCCATTTATACATTATACATATTGCCCATATTCTGATTCTACTATTTTGGTCTATGTTTTATTTCTGATGCAAAATTCAGCTGCAAACAGATCCAAGTAGTTTAAATCTGAGATCTAAGTACCTAAGCAGTCCACACTTGGTCCCAGGAGCACTGAGACTGAGAATCTGATCTGCACTACAAATAACTATATTTGTATAGCACTATTCAAATCATCAATTACAAATCCCTTTACATAAAATAAATATGCATCAGCAAGTTGTCATCAGAAGAGCAAAGACTGGCTTTACCACACAAAACAGACTTCTGTCTCTTAGTGCTCCTAATAAAATAGCAACAAATATGGTGAATACAGTCAAATGTGAAGTTGTGGAGAACAGTAGACAAGTGGACAAAAAAAGAAAATTCGGGAAAGATGGATGACAGAGACATACAAAAAGGTGACAGATACTGCCAAAAACTCAAAATGACAGGGCCAAAACTACAAAAGGGGCTTTTTTTTAAAACTACCATATCTTGGTCAAAATTATGGGAACATTTTTTTTATTCTGTGTCCAATGGAGCCTAAACATGAAATTAACATGTGGATTGGGCATGTACAGTAGTACTAAACATGAGTGTATACATTTTGATGTAAACTTTGTCAACACACCACATACCACAGATTTCTGGGTAATCTGCTGTAGTGTCTTGTGTGCCAAAACAATCACAAGTTTCCAAGACTGCGAATGTACATCTAGGTCTCATGAGTTCCCAAAACACAGAGTTAAGGCTTTTTCTTATTTGGAAACATGAGCAATGTCCTAAAACAGTTTGGAGTGTAGTACAGGAGCCAGAAGGTTTGGAGCAATATAAATCTTTTTATAAACTTTAATCATGGCAGTGCAGATATGATGCTTGCCAAATTTGGAGATGATTGGCTTAAAGTCCACTGAACAACAGAAGACTAGTTGTGCATGGGAGGTTTTCCCACTGGGAAATGTTAAACTCCATAACATGCCCTATTTTCGTCAGTGACAATGAAAGCCCTGGCTTATGGTCTGCATAAGTGACGACTCCCTGTCTCCATGTCATTCTTCAGATCTCTTTGCCCATTAGTGAGCCTTTCAATCCACCCAGACTGTAATTCCCCTTGCTATTAGGTCTTTCATCAAAGAGCTCCATTCAGATGAAATAACAAAGGGGATGGAGGTGACCACTCCAGGCTTCGGTCACTCCATGGCACAGGGACCGGCCCCCTTCCAAAAGCGGTCTACAGGGTCTCTTGAGCTCAGGACAAAAGTGCTTTTGACAAGGAGCTAACTGTGTTGGATGTAAGAGGATGCAGCAGGCACTGAAATAATTCATCAAGATGAGAAAAAAGCTGGTCAAGGACAGACACAGAGGAGGATGGTGACATTTAATACACCAGACAAACCAAAGGAGACAAAATTAGAGAAAACATTTCTCTATGTTAATATTGGCAACTAAAGTCTGATAAAGAAAGACACTGCTTTGAGAATAGCTGAAAATGAAGACATTCTGTACAGACAAATTTATGACTATGAGCCAGCACTGTGAGAATAGCAGCTGAGTGCGAGACAAAGCATGGTCAGTTGTTTCATTAGTGAATACTGAACATACTGAAGCAAGTTAGGTGCAACACTAAACTTCAGCACAACCCTGTAGCTAGAACATGATACAGAATGTTTATGAACCGAACCCGAGCTACACATGCATGCACACCTAGTATCCTCTCACCTTTGCGATCAGGTTTGAGATTTCGATCCACAGGTGGGGGCTGGCAGTCATTGACCATTGGTCTGCGAGGAGGGGTCTTGGGACTTGAGCGGAATCCCATGTGAGCAGGCGGGGGCACCTGCTTTCCCAGAGAAGAGAACTCCATGGTGCTTGGGGTCATGGGCACATAGTTGGGTTCGTGCATTGGCTCTGGCAAACTGCCTGAATGATGATGTGATGGGGAGTTGGCACTCATGGGTACGTAATTTTGGTCTACTTCTTCTGTGGACTGGCTACTCACTGGCATCATTCCTTTGTTTTTCTGAGGGGGACAAGCACAAAATAAAGAGAAATAACTGGTATAAGGCTCCCTCTAAACTCAGGTCTCAGCTGAACAGTAATGATGTTCAGTTGAATGTATAACAACGTTTGTGGCTAAATTAATGAGTAGACAACACTGGTCAGTAGGGGTGTGATTATACATTTAGCTCATGAGACGAGACGATACATGATATTGGTTTCACAAGAACGAGGCAGGATATAAAAGGCAACAAAATGCAGACACTGTAAAAGGTTTTTCCACAAACTCAACTGACTGGCTTCTCTCCTGTATGATTTCATGAGTCTCTTCAGACCTTATAACTGTGCACGAACTATGCATGAGCTTCTAACTTCTAACTGAAGCTGTGTGTGACCTTCTATGCTATTTTCAACCTGATCACACTGCCCCGGATGGGGACATCATCCAGCAAGGGTGCTGCGATGACCAATCACATATGGGGTACAATTGGAACGTGGACTCTTTTGTTACATTGTAGCATGAACATTCACTGTTATTCACTGTAGAATTTGGGCCACAATTAACGCACCATAATGACACACCATCCATTTTCCTTAGTACTAAGCGGTGTTTTTTATCTATCTATGCCGACACACTGGTGGTAGAAGGTAGAGCAGGCTACCTTAGTAGCATGGCAGCCACGTGCATTAAAAGGCAGCAGGGAGTTGCATTTTTGTCGGACTAATGTGGACATACAGTCACAATGTCATATTAGCTGCTGCTCTGGTTCTGTTATGTACTGATATCATGAGGCAGCCTCGATGAGAAATACCATCATGTTTTAATATCGCAAGATCTCGTGGCACAAGATCTCATCACACCCCTACTGGGCAGTCATCTGTACACACTTTTTTTGGCAGGAAAATGCTTTTAAAGCACAAATATTTTTTTGAAAGGATGTGGTGACGGTAAATCAGTGTACCAGGAACTAAAAAAAACTACCAATATTTAAACTAGCCAACATACATTATATGAGCAAAAAAATGTAAAAATTGCAGGTAGACACTCAGGCACACTAAATCAGGTGCACAGCTAGCCTTAACATATAAACATGATCTACCTGAAACCAAAACGGCCAGCAAAACAAGATTTTGCTGAATTTCACATTTTGTTGAGTATAGAAATTCAACAGAATCCAACAAATAACCTGAAATAAACATGAATACTGAGCGTTCTTTATGTTTTCTCCATCTAGCAGTATTATAAAACACTATTGTACCTGGTGTTTCCTTCACACTTCTACAATAAAGTCAAATGATGTCATTGTCTGTGCTAAAGTTGCTATCATAACCTGAAGGCTAAAATGGCAAACTGTTTTGCTGGACTCTTCCCTATCACACAAAACTGTAGCTACTATTTTAACTGTGCAATTCCAGACTCTACGCAGCACAATGTGTGCACAAATGTTGGCATGCTAAAAGTTACAGTACACAATATTTTTTCTTCTTAGGGAGGTGAAGATAACCAAGCACAGCAAACCAAAATAGATCAGACTTCCCCTGCCATTCTTGCACCATGACACTTCTCAGTGTCAAAGCAGAATGCAGTCTTAGCAGCTAGGACAGGGTACAGCTGAAGAGTCACAAAAACTGCATTTTTGCTGACTTTAGTTGCATTTGAACATGTTGTGTCTTCATTATAAAACACAGACATTCAAAACTGTCAAAACAGCCACAATCACAGCATGAAAGTTTCCTTTAAAGCTGTCAGCCAGTACTTAAAGGTTCAAAAGTATTACAAGTTTATCAACCAGTGAACCTTGGAACAACACTTACGAAGTAGCTGTTGAAGCTTTCATTGAAGTCAAAGGAACAGCTTTTGTCAGAGGGGAATGACCTAGGAATGTCATAGCAATCCTGGGATCCGAAATCTGCAAAAAACGCATCAAATTACCAGATGTACTGTATACATGTAGGTGAATGGGATCTGTTCTTTAGCATTTAATTACTTTATCTGTAAAACATAACATATTATATAACACTACATTTTCCATACCTGAGCTAAATGCCTTCATTTCAAGCTGATCTATGCCATAACAAAATACTAAAGAGATACACAATAGAGGCCCATTTGAAAAACGTTTTCAAGACTGCAAGGATTAATTTATTCAGTGGAAAAGAGCTCAGCAACTCTAGGCAAGGGCTCTACTGTGAGGAACATTATCATTGTTTTGTGCATTCTCATTAGGCACTGATGCATTTGCTGATGCATTTCACTTCTGGCCACAAGAGCCACAGCAATGACAGGAAAGGCTTGAATGGCAAGTGAGAGTATTGGCTAAGGAAGACTTAAGTGGGGAAAACTGGGAATAATTACAATGAGACGTGTGATTACCTAAAGAAATAAACAGCCAAAAAATACAGTATGTTTCAAATGGGTGAGATGAATTCCAGTACGTATTACAGTGAAAACAACTCACCTAATCAGGGTTGTTCCAGCTATTCAAAAGGTGTTTACAGTTTATTTTTTTAGTCTGGTTCACCTTACACCTCTGGACACACTGGCCTTTTCATCCGTCATCAAGACTTTAGCCCAGTCTCATGTTGAAAGAAATATTCACCATAGCCTCCACGAAATGACATGTGTCACCAAATGAGGGAGGAGTTAGGTTTTATGAACAGAATATGTTGTAACTATCCTTATCCTTAAGCTTCTCTCATCTTTCCAAAGGGTTTTGCTGTATTTTAAGCCTTTATGCAAAGGATGTTGTAGGCTGATTTAAGACCTGTGCATTAAAGATAAAATTTTATGGTTAGATCTATTTTATTTTCTAATTGTACTGAACTGTTAGAAGACCTTCTCAGGTTCTAATTAATCAGATTTCCATCAAACTGCCTCCTGATTCAACTGACAGCAAAAGTAGTGATGGCGCACACAAATTAGTATAGTACAGTATATGTGCTACAAGGAAGGCTCTCCTGATAGCCAGCCAAAGATATCTGTGCCCTCAGTGATACAGCAGAAAGCATGTTTTGCCTTCCAAGACCATTAACTGCCTGACTGTAAATACTCCTGCAGAAAGCTGTTTTGGTGTTCAGGTCTAATACAGAGGAAATTTGAATGAATTGTAAACAGAACAGAAGAATAATGGCGAAAATAGGTTTGGAATAAAGCATGCCAAGAACTCAGGTGATGTCAGTTATCATCCATCACAAAGAAAGTGAAAAGGGTACGGAATGACATAAAAGCTGTGCAAAGGCCTTATAAGGCCTTATAATGCAGCTAGTTGGTGGAAAAAATATCACGGCATATAAAGGTCAAACATTTTCACAGGAAAATGGCCTTGTGTGTCCTATTATTTGAATTTTTATATTTACAGATCGTAAACAATACTTTCTTGATTCAAAGAAGTTTTCCAGTGCTTTACTCCAACAGCAAAAAAGAAAAAGAAAAAAAGGAACAAGACTCTCCACAACACAAACCTTTGCGGAGGTGTGAATAGTCCATGGTGCCTATAGTGTTGCTGCGTAAAGCCTTATTCCCAGCACTAGTAGGCACACAGTAATTCCCGTCCGTCTCTGAGGCTGAACGGGGAACACAATAGGTGTCCGTAGGGGAGCGCTCAGCAGGGGGGGGTGGGAGTCCTGAACTGAGCGAAGGCTTGGGTGGTCTGGGAGGAGGGAGTACATCTCCCCCACCCTCTGAGCTTCCTACCCCAGCTGACGATAATGTGCGGGGCACCTGGTAAGTACAGTTTGCACCAGGTGTAGGTGGAATATCATAACTGATGGACAGGTTGCGCATCTGTGTCTCCATGGAGGGCTTTCGTGCTGGTGTGTTGAAGACATAAAGCTCAGAGGCATCCCCACTGTCTGGTTGGGCTGGAAGGGAGGAGGCTGACTTGGGGAGCAGCACAGTGTCCTGGGAGTAGCTGCGAGGGAGGTGGTAAAGGCCACTGTCAGTTGAGAGCGAGGCGCCACGTGATGGAGGCGAGTCATAGATAGAAGAGGAAGAAGCAGGGGCCGGGTGCTGTGGGAAGAAGCCGTTGTGCGAGGTGTGTTTAGCTGAGGAGGTGGATGATGTAGGCGTGCGGTGAGAGGGGAGGTTGTCATTCAGGTCTGTCTCTGAAGAGGTAGACTTGGAACACTCCGCATAGGCTCTAGGAAGAGAACACATATATAAAGCAGAGAATTAAATATCCACAGTAAAACATGTTGACTTAGAGGTTAGGAAATCCACACAGTCATGGTATGCCTTCACAGCACCCTGTGCAAGCCATAGTTAGTGACCTGAAGTTATTTATATTCATATCTTTGACACTTCTTGCCATATTAGCATCTCTTTTTGGTTCAAGTGGATGACAGAAGTACTCAGTAGCTGTTGGGTCATTTCTAAACATGCAGGCAACAACAATCAATAGTGTTAAGTACAGCTCAGTCTACTGTGATCTAGAAGGTGGGCTAGTTGCTACACAAGCACCTCAAACTCAGCAATAATCATCATCTACAGAAGCTATGAAAATCCACAGCAGAGTGTATGAAATGTTTTTCTTTCTGTTCTGCTTTTACACATGTGTAGCACTCCACACAAGCAGGCACTTCCAGTTTGATGGCTAGCCACTCACAGACTAGTCTGTGGAGGAAGAGTCTTGCTCTCACACTGCTCCAGGAGCAAATACTCCTGGTCTCCCTCCAATGGCAAGTGAAGCTGCACTGAGCTACACACACACCACACAGCGGAGGCAAAGACAAGAATGGCAGTACAGATGAAATACACAGAAAGACTAGATGGGCTGAAAGTAAGTACAGACAGTAGGGTATTCTAAACACAGTGAACATGGGAACTCATACATCCAATATAAGAAAATGTTGACACAAATAAACTGACCTGTTAGGTTCAGGCTTTTTGCTCTCACAGTTGACCAGCCACAGGTAATCCTGCGGCTCTTCTGTACTGGACTGAGAGTCCAGGTGGCGCACACTGACTGGCTGGTATGGAGGAGGCACACTTGTCAGCGCTGCTGCTGGACCAACAATATTACCCAGTGCTGGGTGTGGGGGGGTGTCCACCACCAGGCCTCCAATGGTTGACTGGTGAACAGCTTTTGCTGCCTCTGGGGGAGAGAAAAGAGAAGGCTGGGGCTAACTCCTCTTGAGTCTGTTTATGTTTATATGTTACCTCCTTTAGTATTTGTTACCGTGTGTTAGTAATGTTAATTTTAGCAACCACGTGTGCCTCAAAACACTTAAAAGGTCAAATACAATACAGGGTTTTCAACAGCAACAGAGGGGGTGAATCGCGGCGACTGAATTAATGGTAACCTCAACTAACAACAGAAGAAATGAACACTTTTACACTATTATGAAATAAAACCAACCTTCAGAGGAAAAAGCAGCTGTGCCTTTTTATATGACAAAGGTCATACAGAATAATGACTGAGTGACATTTTATGGTTTAGTCTGGACTCTAGTCATTAATTTGATCACAAAAGCTGAGTCGCCTCTATGATTTGTGAGACTCAGCTCAGTCTATAGGTGACTGATCATGTTTACACATTATGCGGTGTCTGTTCAGCAATTCATCAGGGCGGCATAAAACACACAATAGATTGTCACCAGATATTCACTTTATGTAAAGCATCAGGTTGATGTTAGTTATAATTTAGACAGTCACAAACAGGACATGTATAATCCGAACTCAGACAAGACTCTCACTGAATCCAGTGATGGAACAATTTTACTGGACTCATTACTTTTTTGGACTTCTCATATTGGATTTACTAAATTTTGTATAACCTTGATATTGGGTTATAACCACATCTTTGTATTTCTTTTAATCATGGTCACAGTAAGCCCTCACAGCTGCATTTGCAAGCCATAGCTACTTTCCTATAGTTAGATTCAGACACCTCTCATCACTAATCTTTGGCACCTCTGGATCAAGTGGATGATGAGGTAATTAGACGGTGCAATTTTTAAACATACAGACAATGTATGTACAGGTACAGTGTTGGCAGAGTAAAGTCTGACCCAAGCTGTTTACTAACAACCAAATTCCAACTAGTGACTATAAAATCACTAGTTCCATTTTGACCGAGATCACAATTTTACATTTCTATATCATGCAAACTTAAGTAGGTGATTATTGTAGGGTCATTCCAGTGACACAACAACTTGAGGACAGCTCTCAGGTATCTCTTTGGAACAGCTCCCCATATTCTATTGGCTAAAATCAACCCTAACTGCAGCTAAAACACAGGGTGCTCCTTCTAGACAGAGTTCCTAGGGGAAACAAACCTTTTCAAATCCAATGTACTGTTCAGCTTGAAGTGAGGAATTTGATATGTGTGCAATATATGTGTTCCCTAAATAACACTGGCACTAGTAGCTGATATCAACTTTAATCTCACTTAAATCACTGCTGTGAATTTACACAAAAACACCATCAAGAGCAGTATTTTCATCACTTTTCATGTTCAACACGTACACACGAAACTCATTTAAAAGCTTTACTTGTTCGTCAACAGTCTGAATGCCGTTTGCCTTCAGAATCCCACACACTCCTTCTCAGATAGCGTTTCCTCAAGGGCTCTGCTTTATCACACACAGCTTTCAAATATCAGTCCTTTTTAAACCCTCCTAAAAAGCTGATTGTACTGCACGACAACCAAGATGGTTGATACTTATGCTGGGTGAAATACTTCTATGCTTTCATTTCACATCTCTCTACTTTTTTCTCTTGTTCACAGTTCTCCTCCCACTCTTCTTCTATCACTAGCATGCAAGGTCCTCTCTTTCTCTTCATTAAAAGTCAGTTTCTCTCGTTGCACTGCATCATTTGCTCCTCACTAATCCTTTGCTAACTTCTTCCCTTTTCCCCCCCATTTGTTTGCTGAAGCTTTAAGTGCTGATTCATCCAGGAAAAAGGAAAATCCCCTCTACTGATACTCTTCTGTACCTCCTACACTTGTCTGTCAGCACCTTCATTCCCCGGCCCTCCTAATGCTTTCTTTTCTAATATCTGCCCAGCCATGAAGCACTCTAGTGTGGCCACACACACACGGCAGTAGAGTGGGAGTTGGGTCTCACATGCAGAGAAGTGTAAGCGGGCACAAAAGGGAGAGCCAAGGACATTTTTTGTAACAAGAAATGTGAGGACGGCTATCTGAAAGGATATTTGTCATTACACCCAGTTTCTCCTTGAATAGTCTTACTGTTGCTGCATTGGGGTTTTAACAGCCCGTTCCAATAGTTCTGTAGCAAATGTGCCATAATTGTTGCTATTATGGTTTCCCTGCAGCATTAGTTAGGTACCTGAGGTGGAGGCAGAGTCACAATACTGTGGCAAGGACAACCTTGGAGCAGCATAATCAGTGACTCAGCTGCCAGGTTTAAAAAAGTATATTCATCTCCTAAAAGAATGTGGCGTGATATGTCAGAGAGTGAATTAATGCAATGTTTATGCCAGTTCTCATCACACTAAAGTGCTTACACATTTAGGTTAGGAGAGGGAGAAACCATAAAAGACCAAAGCTAAGATGCAAATATTGCAGCTTGCAATTGGGCTCGAAAACAGAGAGGAAAAACAAGTGTGTGCAAACAAGAGAGCATGAGAATCAGATAAAAAGGAGCAAATAAAAGACGGGCAGTGCAACCTGCAGCCACACAAAGCTTTGATTATACAGTACTGGGAACAAGAGTAATGTCATCCTCAACACAACACAACACATGATCAACACATGGATCATTAGACCTTGGCTGAGAACAATGCTGAGGAGGCCCTCTGGCACATTCAGCTGGTTCACCCTAACTCCAGACAGAAAAAAAGCAGCTATTTGAGAGGCACAGCAGTCAAAAGAGAGACCAATCAAATGTACAGTCAGTAGCTTGTGAGCTAATATTGTATTGTTCAGTTGTACACCCCGACTTAAAGCCAATACACAGGAGTTCAGAATCCCTATTTCTGTACAGATATTATAAGGTGCTTAATGACGCCTGCTGGTGCATGACAAAATCAACACAATCACTGTGGTGTCCATGCACTGGACACAGTAGAGTAGCAAGTGTGGCTAATACTGTTTTTTTAAGTGTCTGGGAATTCCTACACACTACACACATACAGCATAGTGGCTAAATCTCAGGTTTTCCACAGTGATGTGTGGCTAACAATCTAGTCCTTACCGTCATCAGTAGGGTTAAAACCACAGATGTCGCAGATGCAGCGAACCCACTTATTCATCTCTTCTTCAGTGTCAGCCACCAGGTAGAAGACACGGTCAATGGTCTTGATGTCAAATATAAAGCTGTGCTCCAAGTCCTTCTTGTTGAATGTCAACCCAGCATCCACCTGAGGGAGCAACCGACAGGCCTTGGCTTGTGGCATTAGTCAAGAAAAACTTTACAGCCAGAAAATGAAATTGACCTCAATGTAAAAGCTACATCTCAAAACCTCCACACATATTAAAATGCAGATTTGTGATCTGAGCATCATAATCAATGCAAATACCCCAAGCATAAAATTGTGATTAAAGTGGGGCACAAACAGTGGCCAGCTACAACCAGACTTTTGTAAGTATTAACTGCAGTATATATGTAGAAATGTGGAACCTGGCTCTTCAATTTGCAGACTGGCAGTAATGGGGAACCATACCTGCTCACACAAGTTGAGATCAATCACACGGATGGGCTTCTTGGCATGGTCATTCTTGTAGTACTCCAACACGTCTGGGTCGCCTGTCAGACGGCCACTGCGAAGAACAAACCACCGCTTCTTCCATGCCTGGAGGGAGAGCACAGAATTGAGGCCAAAGGTTATATGTGTGTCCTCACAATGACTGCTCCATTCCCAGTTGACCACAGTCTGGCCAATCGTTTAATTTTCCCGGTTTAGCCAGTGTGACCTAGCATAGCTTTGTGTCTCTGTGTGCGTTCTCCACCAGCTGCACTGCCTTCACAGAAGAACAGCGAGAGCCAGAGGAGAGAGGCCCGCAACCAAAAATATGTGAATGGGCTCATCAGAACAAAAAGTCACATAGTTTGGTGAATAACCAAATCTATAAAGAGAAACAGGCAATTAAGCCTTTTCTTTCAGATGGGACTTGTTGTCTGGGAGAAAAAGGCACTGCAAAGCAGGGAGACATTTAATCATATGTATGTATATCAGACAGAGAAAAGTGATATTAGCAGAAAAACTATTCAAAATTCCAAACCATGCAGATGCTGCTGAATGCTCCCTGTTTCTAGAATGCATTTTCCTCCTCATGGTGTTTACAGCTTTCAGAGAACATATCCAACTGTGATTCATTTAAATGCAGACTCGAAGGGGTCATGAACTCTTGATTTTGCTGAGTCATGGCAGTTAGGCTGAGCATTTTGTTTATAGCTTAAAATAACCTCGCCACAAAATGCTAGTAAGACTTTAGCAAGAATTTATTATAAGATAAGGGATTTAAGATACATGCAGCAAATATGTATAGACACATTTTTAACCAACTAATGTGCCACTAAAAACAGTGACAGCAAATGAGATGATCAATTGAATACCAGAAGCGTTCCTGGTACTGTCTGAAATGTGAGTCTGAAACGACAGATGAGGATCCAGTGGACAAACAGCCACTGCAGAGATCAGACAGATCAGGAAGCATACCAGCAGAGTGTGAGGAATGCAAACCAGGGCTTTGTTGTTGTTGTTTTGGGGTAAGATTTTAACTGTATTAACAATTCTGTGGGCTCTGCTTTTTTTTTCTTCCCTTAGATGTTTTTCCATCCACAGGGTGTCCTTTGTTAGTGGGCCAAGCCCCAGACGGAGACAGCATGTGGAGCATGGGACCTTTCCCTCCACAAACAGGATGAAGAAACAAGCAGCCCTGGAAAGCCTCTGGATTTTAAACAGGCACACTGACATACAGGAATCACACGGACAAAAATATTAAATAGCACACTCAGTTTCATAAAAAAGAATCAACACACCAGTCACATCCCACACTGACATACTGCACACACACATGCAGCACGTTTCACACACTGTAGTTCAGAAGGCCTGAGTTACATAATCACAAACACCCACAAAGTCCAAATGAAGCTAAAACCTATCTATCAAATACACATCCATTGAGGCAGGCCCGGTAAATACCAAATTTAACTGTAAAGTGAATGCTCAACGGCAACACGGATGTGCCTGTGTTGTGCTGGCCGGACAAAGACGGTGGGTGTGGTGAGGGAACCTCTCTTTGGCACATGACAAAGCAACCGTGGGTCAAGTTACCCTGATGGGAATAGAAGGACCAGGAGCTTAGGTTACAGCGGGGCCGGGTCCACCCAGAGCGAGAGTGTGTATGTTGTACATACTAAGGGCAGGGACGAGTGACACCTGTTTGACAGAACTGGTGGACAGTAATGGACTAGATACCCTTTTAAAATTCACAAGAAAACAGGTTAATTACTGAGAGGAGAGCGTGCAGATCCAAAAAACTTTTATAGCTGCTAAATCCAAAACTCCAACATAAGTCATACATCGTACTGATAGCAGCCAATCCATTTAAAAGAGCAATGATCTGATGTCAAATAAACATTGCAGAGCAGACCAGGCAATATATACAGTATTCACAAACACATTTATATTCTGCACAACTAAAAACAAACTGCCCCCAAACAGCACTTATGTGCCCCTACAATGGGACTACAAAATGAATACTTAATATATATTTATTTTTTTTAATTAAATCTCGTAGATCAAAAGCCACATAATGTGTCCAACTAGCAAGAAAAGGTAAATAAAAAGGAAGAAACGATAACTATATAAAGTTAATATAGAAAGTGCCAAAATTACACCAAATTAATAAAAAGACCATATGTATGTATGCAACCATCTTACAAGATGTAAAAGGACAAGATACTGTATATTAACCACACTGGGAAAAATGTTTTCCAACTCACAAATATTCAAGCTCAAAATCTGACTTTAAACCCTGCAGTAATACAGTGTTATGGGTCAATATTGGTTTGTGGTTTATCATTCAACGAGCTGCAGCCCTGAAGATAATCTGCACCCACTGCTACATGAGCATGGTTACACTAGTAGTTCTAAGATGACAAGCTGTGTGGTAGCTGGAGCATCTCTCCTCCATCTGTGGGCTTTCACACAGCTTTCCTTGTGCACAATTATACACGCTTGCACTTCTCTACCACTGATTTGTACCACCAAGCCGGCATCAGACGTGCATAAATATAAGCACTTATAGACTAATAAACCACTGTCAAAAATAAGAGACAACACAATGCATTTCTTTTGCTGATAGGTTATATGTGTATGTACCGACAGTACGTACACATATAACCTCAAATTCAGTTACATCTGCATGCATACAGGACAACGGGTAAGTGGTAGAAATCAGTCAACAGCAGGAAAGTAGAGAACACAGTTACCCAGTTACAATAAAATCCAGTAGTATTCAGTAACGAGATCTATCCCCTACCTCCTAACATAGTCTCAAACCAATGCTGGCTGATTAAAAGTATATTACTGATGTGCACTGCAGTTCTGAAGTGTTTTTTTCCTATTTTTATAAGGGGATTTGAACCAGCAGTGCAGTGGGAGAACAGGCACTCATAGGGAAGCAACACTGTTTTTTTTTTCCCTAATGTGTGAATGTGTCTGAATTTAAAAACCTACAGTTCAGCTGAGAAAACTGACTCATTTTTGGATTTTCTTCACTTGTAGTTGGACTTTAGATTTACCTAGAGTGGTGGAAGAAGTAATCAGATTTTTGCAGCAATACCACAGTGTAATAATAATACTCTGTTACAACTAAAGGTCCTGCATTCAGAATGTTACTTAAGTACAAAAGTATTAGCATCAAAATATACTTGAAGTACCAAAAATAAAAGTGGCAAATTTTACATTAATGTATATCATATTAATGGATTATATACTTACTGATGTATTATTACGTACATCATATTTAATGTTGCCTTATATGCTTATAATGTGAATGACTCTGTCTGCTGCTGGGTAGCTTATGAATTTTTCACCAGAAATCAATAAAGTCTGATGATTAGAGAGTGCTGTATTCTGAAAAGTAACTAAAGTTATCAAATAAATGTAGTAAATAGTACAATATTTGCCTCTGAAATGTAGTAAACTCAAAGCATGAAGAAGCAAAAAATGAAAATACTCAGAAACCTCAAAACTGTACATAAATAAATGTACTTAGTTACTTTACTTCACTGCTTATAGTGGATACAAGGATGCACAGCTACAAGTAAACATCTTACATTTCATCCATCTGAACTGCTGCCACAAGAATATTTAGACTTTAAGAAATGTGTCATGCATACACACTCCTGGTGGAAACTGTATTAAGTCACAAAAAAGTCTTGTTTTTCCAGCATACATCTTTTCTCTTGGCTTGATTAAGTAAACTAGGTTACACCAACATGGCCTTATAAGACACACCACAGAAACAAAAACTTATGCCAAAAGAATAAACTGACATATGATATAATCACATAACAATTCTTGTAGCTATAACTGCATGTAAATACACCTAATAGCAACAAGGCAAAACCCAAACCACACCAGAGTACTTTGAACCCAGTGTCACAAACACACATTGTACCAATATGATCTTTGCCAAACACCAAGTAGCTGTCCACGAGTACATACCTCCTGTCAAAGCTCATGAAGAACATAATGAAACCTCTAGTCCAGCTTTTAGCTTTGTCTTTTCCATTGTTGCATGGGTTATTGTTGAATTAAGGGCTAAATCCCAATTAGGCCAAGCCAGGCTGCAGTACTCCATGACTGCTGGATATGTGTAATGTCCATTCTAGTCTTCCTTAATACACCTACAGCTTCTGAACCATTCAGCTTACTCAACAATCACAGAGGCCACTTCAGCTTGTAGAAGTCTAGTGCTTGCTGCTCCAGTGTTGGGAATGGGACGAAATGGGACAATACTGAAATGGGATGGGGAGGGCTCCCTTGGTCCTGGCAGCTGTCCCTACCAGGCCATCCGTACCCTCCTTCCCCTTTTCTCCAAATGCCCATAGTGTCTTCTGATAGGATGAGACACAGGGAAACACCCTCTAATCATCCACCCAGGTCCTACAGCCACAGCCTATGGGGGCGAGACAGAGAAGGCACTGAGGGTCTGACTAAGACAAGAACAGGAGGAGGGAGGGTGGGAGGTGTTGGGAGGAGATGCCAACTGAGTGGAGTCACACTGCTATCAGAGGCCTCCTGACCCAACATCACTGAAGCTTGAAAAGCCAGAGGTGAGAGAGAGAAGTAGGTGAAGTTCATAAAGAAAAAAAAACCCACAAGGGGCAGCCCGATGTGTATTCAGAAAGAGAATAATGGTGAAAGAGAAAGATGAGAGATGCTGCATCCTCAAGCACCAACCTCTGCATCTACAGGAGGTTGGCACAATGTTATGACATACAGTCCAATGTCATGCAATCCAGTATAATGTCCTGCAACAAACATTACTTTTGTCAAGTGCATCTTTATAAATCATTGCAAATGCTGTATTCACATTTGTGTTGATTGAATGTTTGTCCTGCTTACCTACCATTCACTGACTATTAGTTGGCCACTACATGCTGCTTGCTCTGAGGACATTTCACATCAAAAGGATAATAAGGATAATCACCTTTATTGGCCGAGTATGTTACACACCAGAAATTTGTTTCCAGTACAGAACCGAGGCAGCCATCTGCGGCGCCAACTCAACTGTTGGCTCTAATCTTCAGGGACAACGGGGGGATTCAGTGTCTTGC